AAGACCATGTTGAGGAGAGATCTAAAAATGAGTGACAGCCATCATCCAGAGCAAGGAGCTGGTAGTCAGTGTTCTGCAAGATTGGAGACGTATGCCAAGCAAATCTTTGCAGTATTAAAAGACTTCTGCAAAGCCAGGGAACTGTTAAGAACAAAATGTTCTGATAGGCACAGCAAATTTAGAGGAAGTCAGAAAGACATGAGAGGCAGAGACCTTTAAATACTAAAATGAGTGACAGCCATCATCCAGAGCAAGGAGCTGGTAGTCAGTGTTCTGCAAGATTGGAGACGTATGCCAAGCAAATCTTTGCAGTATTAAAAGACTTCTGCAAAGCCAGGGAACTGTTAAGAACAAAATGTTCTGATAGGCACAGCAAATTTAGAGGAAGTCAGAAAGACATGAGAGGCAGAGACCTTTAAATACTAGCTCTGAGTGACAAGGACAAGGTGGTGGTTACATGGTTACATTTTGATACATGGCCCAATGTATTCAGAAAGAATAGTTCATAGGACAAAGTTTTCATAGCTTTGTGTGCATTTTGTCCACAGGAAGGGGCAGTGAAGTTAGACACAATTAATTTCCCTTGAGGGATACAATCTTGTGGCAAGCTATGATGTGTCCCTGCCACCTGCAGATGATGAACTGCTGTCTGCAATAGAAAACTGCAGCATTTGTGAACTCCAGGAAGCCAGGCTAGTCAGTCAGAGGTAGCAAACCCACACAGTGCCTCATGGATCAGCTGCTGCTAGCTTCGTGACTGATTTGCTAATGGCTAATAAGTCAGAAGTGAGAAATTCTAAATTTTGAGGTCCCTGATGTGCAGATAGTAATAGACATTTTTTTTGTCATGATAAATTTTGGCTTGAGGTACTCCGTTAGATAATTCTGATCAAAATTAAATGTTTAAATTTGATTATACATCTTAGCATAGAGACTTGGCATTTTGTGACTTTTGAGTTAATACACCAGCACAATAAAAGATTTAATGTGGATTATAGGAACAATTAGAAAAAACAAAACTTTGAATTTTACAGTGTAGCTTGATGTAAGTCACATGCTTTGTGTGACCAAGGCCCTGGCTTTAACCTTTGGTGCTGAACACATAGTCACAAAAGGGGTTCTGAATAGATGACCAGTGTAATAATTCTGCTATCTTGGTACTTTGAAAGTGGACAAAAATCAAACAAAAATCTTTTTTTTTTCTTTTCTTTTTTATACAGGGTCTCTATGTAGCCCTGGCTGGCTTGAAACTTGTTGTGTGGACCAAGGCTGGCCTGGAACTCAGAGAGGTCCACCTGCCTCTTCCTCTTGAGTGCTGGGATTAAAGGTGTGTACCACCCACCCAGCCCTAAACAAAAATCTTTAAGAGATTTATTATTTTAGAGCTGCATCTAAATTGCTTTTGTACTTTTGTTTTTTTGATACTAGAGATTGAACACATGGTCTCTTAAGAAAAAGATATTTTTTAACCTAAACAAACAAATATATATCATGGTTTTGTTTTTCCAAAAGTAATTTAAATCTATTAGTGAAGTTCAGTTTTGTTAGTGGTCATTTGTGATTTGATTTCCTTCTGCAACCCCTGCCATCTTTCACAGCTAGTGAGGTCACTTCTAGGTTCTAGCTAAGCTGCCAGGATGGAGAAACGGCCAAGGAGAAAGTACTTACTCAAGTTAATGCTTAGTTCATAAAAATTGAAATCAGGTTTTAATATGTGTTAACCAGTTCTAGCATTGCTTGATCTGTTTATTTGGAGGGAAACTTTAGATTATTTTGTTTTCCATAGAAAGAAAATGATCACAGAAAGAAAAATGCCTTAATTTGAGAAAGTTAATTTAAGAAGGATTTGTGATAAGCCATATTTCATTGACTCTCAGACGCTATTACTTATAAGACCCACCATTATTTGATATGCCTCTCAGAAATAAAAATGCTAATGAAAACGATAGACCACTAGTGGGGAGCTCCCTTTCAACAACAGAGATGGGAACAGGCATCTTAGAGTCATTGAATGGCGGGGACAAGCCTACGGGAATGAGTCCCTTTCCTCCTATATGATGGGTATTGTGCTTTTTATCCTGGCTACCAAATTTCACAATTTCAAAAATCACAAGGATCACAGTTTGAATTATTTTAGTATGGAATGCTTGCGGAGCGTAGCTTTCCACCAAGAAAAAACGCTAGCTTTATGAGCCAGAACTTGAGTGTCGGTTGGGTGAATGCCACTCAGGCATCCTAGTGGGCTGCAGAGGCAAATGGGCCTTGGAAGATGCCCAGCACAAAGAGGTAACAGGATGGCCCCAGGCACTGTGCTACCGGCCAGAGCCTTAACTTTCATGACACATTGTTTACTAGATAGCATCCAGTTTGTATTATATGCATGAAGATTATGCGAACATGGTCGTGGGTAATTGTGGCGTAAAAAATGTATTGGGTTAGGGTTTAGAATACTGCAGAAACCCAAAATGCATGAAAGAAAAAAAATGAGTTTGTTCTCATTTTAGGTGTTCAGCCTAGTAGTAAAACTGACCAAAAGCCATGCACAAAACTACCTCCCCAGAGAAAGACTGGTCCCTTCCCCTCCCCATCACTTCATCATGAACATAGTACAAGACAGCACCTTTCTGTCAAAGTTGATGAAGAATGCCGACTCGTTTGAGCTGAAATACGACCTTTCATGTGAGCTGTACCGGATGTCCACATACTCCACTTTCCCAGCTGGAGTTCCTGTCTCAGAAAGGAGTCTCGCCCGTGCTGGCTTTTATTACATGGGTGCCAAGGACAAGGTCAAGTGCTTCTGCTGTGGCCTGATGCTGGACAACTGGAAACACGGAGACAGTCCTATTGCAAAGCACAGACAGCTGTATCCCAGCTGCAGCTTTGTGCAGAGTCTGAATTCAGCCAACAATCTGGCAGCCAGCCCCCGGCCTTCTTTTTCTTCTTCAGCGACAAACACCACGCCTTCATTAATTCCGAGTTTGGAAAACACTGGCTATTTCAGCGGCTCTTATTCAAGCTTCCCCTCAGATTCTGTGAACTTCGGAGGGAATCAAGATTTCCCTGCTTTGAGGACAAGTCCCCACCATTTTGCAATGAATACTGAGAAGGCCAGATTGCTCACCTATCAGACATGGCCGTTGACCTTTCTGTCACCAGCCGAGCTGGCCAAAGCAGGTTTCTACTACCTAGGACCTGGAGACAGGGTGGCTTGCTTTGCCTGTGGTGGAAAATTGAGCAATTGGGAACCAAAGGATGACGCTATGTCAGAGCACCTGAGACATTTCCCCAACTGCCCATTCTTAAAAGATCCACTTCAAGACACTTCGAAGTACACTGTCTCTAATCTGAGCATGCAGACCCACGCAGCCCGCTTTAAAACATTCTGTAACTGGCCTTTGACCGTTCTAGTTCATCCCCAACAACTTGCAAGTGCAGGTTTTTATTACACAGGTAAGAGAATCTTAACAATTCAACATGTTGCTGGGTGTGGTGGCGCACGCCTTTAATCCCAGCACTTGGGAGGCAGAGGCAGGCGGATCTTTGTGAGTTCGAGGCCAGTCTGGTCTACATAGTGAGTTCCAGGACAGCTGGGGCTACAGGGAGACGCTGTTTCAGACACACACACGCACACACACACACACAAATCAGCATATTTTATGTTATACGTGTGAATGGGAAAATGTTATATATTCATAAGTTTTGGTTCAAATTGAATTTTAGGTCACAGTGATGATGTCAAATGCTTTTGTTGTGATGGTGGGCTGAGGTGCTGGGAATCTGGAGATGACCCATGGGTGGAGCATGCCAAATGGTTTCCAAGGTAACTTTTGAAATTCTCTTTGCAAATTAATATGAGTTTCATGAGATACTTTATCTTCCATTATAACTGCTTAGCCCCTTCGGAACTGCTGTTTTAAACACTGTGAAGAGTATAAAGAACATTCACATAAGTTTAAAATTTTTTTACTTATTTTTATTTTATGTGTATGAGTGTTTTACCTACATGTAGGTAAGTGCACCACATGTGTGCAGTATCCACAGAAGTCTGAAGAGCGTATAGAATCCCCCCCTGGAAATGGTGTTATGGATGGTTGTTAGCCGCCATGTGGGTGCTGGGAACCAAACCCTGGTCCTCTACAAGAGCAGCCAGTGCTCTTAACCCCTGAACCATTGGTCCAACCCCTCACATGGGTTTTTAAATGTGTTTTCTATTGTTGTAATTTTGAATATGCAGAAAGTTGGGGTGGTGAGATGACTTAGTGGGTCAAAGTGAGCCTGATGACCTGAGTTCATTCACTGGGATCCCCATGGTGGAAGGAGAAAACTGTCTCCCACAAATTGTCTTCTGACCTCCTACCACCACACCCACACCCAAAATAAATAAATGCAATAATAGTAAAAGTAATAATGAATCTGCTTTGACATCACCACAAATTCCTTTTGTACTTAGATTTAACAATGAACCTATATTATCCAGGGACTGGAAAAGTCAACAATGGAAGTGTATTTTCGCTCCCTCATCCTCTCAAGATCATCACTGTATGTTTTCAGCTGGAGAAATTGTGATGATGAGTGATGACTTTCAGTTTCTGTGTTCTGTTTTTAATGTCACGCTTGAGGGTATTTTTAGGACTCTTAGGAGAGTAGACGACAGTGAGGACTTTCTGAGCAGAGACCGCCTGTCTTGACCACAGTAGCTCTAGACTCTACAGGTACCTGCGCTCATGTGCACATACCCCCACACATAGATACACACATATATACATAATTTTTAAATTTTTTAAAAGAGGGCCAGTGAGATAGTTCAGTGGATAAAAGTGCTTGTTGTAAAACCCTGATGACCTGAGTTTAATCCATAGAACCCTTGATGAAGGAGAAAACCAATTCTAAAAGTTGTCCCCTGACCTCCATACTTGTGAGATGGCATGCACATGCCTACACTCACACACAATCTACACACACACACACACACACACACACACACACACACTAATAAAAAAAAATTTTAAAATTATTTATTTCGTATATATGAGTGTTTTTCTGCATGTATATAAGTGCATCACATATGTACAATGCCCAAGGAAGCCAGAAGAGGGTGTTGGATCATCTGGAACTGGAGTTACAGACAGTTGTTAGCTACCATGTGGGTGCTGGGAACTGAACTCAGGTCCTCTGCAAGAGCAGCCAGTGCTCTTAACCCCTGAGCTGTCTCTCCAGCCCCCAAATATAAAAATTTTAAAAAGGAAATAAATACACATAGAATCAGTCACACGGAGCTGGGGTTTATTTATTTTTCTAACATCAGTGATTCTCTCACTTTGGCAATTAACCAGATTTTAGATGAAATAAACACCTACAAATGAGGACTTTGTTATTGAGTTGCATTTTACTTTTAATAAATAACCTTCAAAACTTTATGTTTTAGGTGTGAGTACTTGATAAGAATTAAAGGACAAGAATTCATCACTCAAGTTCAATCTGGTTATCCTCATCTGCTCGAACAGGTACAAAAGTTTTTCCATTTTTTAAAAAGATCATTGCTTCCCAACAGAGTAATTAAAGAAAATAATTTAGAGTAGTGTTTCAGTGAAAAGGTAAGAGTTGTTCCAAAATACCTTTTCTTTCTTTTTTTCCACAAAACTCAATGTGATTGTACTTTTTTTTTTTTTTTTTTTTGGTCTTTTTGAGACAGGGTCTCCCTGTAGCCCCAGCTGTCCTAGAATTCACTATGTAGACCAGGCTGGCCTTGAACTCACAGAGATCCACTTGACTCTGCCTCCCAAGTGCTGGGATTAAAGGCATGTGCCACCACGCCCAGCTGTCCTTTTTTTTTTTTCAAAGAAAAATAGATCCATAATTAGTAACCACATGAAAGGTAATAGTTGCTGTTTCTCTTTAAGCATTTGTTCAATAAACTTGCAATAAATTAAACTATTTGAGAGGGGAAATCAGCTCAGATAGCATTTAACAGTTTTACTATATAAATTTTTCTTAAATTGCTTTTTTTAAAGAAATTTTATTTATTATTTTTATTTTTTATGTGTATAAGTGTGTTGCCTGCATGAATGTATGAGCACCCGTGTTGTGCAATACCAAGGAGGTCAGAGGAGAGCTTCGGATTCCCCTGGAACTGGAGTTAAGGATGGTTCATAGCTGCCATGTGGGTGCTGGGAATTGAACCCGGGTCCTCTGCAAGAGCAGTCAGTGCTCTTAACAGCTGAGCCTTCTCTCCAGCCCCAAATGCTTTTTTTTTTTAAATTACATTTTATTTATTTAATGTGTGTGCATACACATGCTGCTGGGTACCTGTGGAGGTTAGAAGGCAATGGGAGTCAGTTCTCACCTCCTATCAACGTGGGTCCTGGGGATCAAACTCAGGTCGTCAGTTTTGGCAGCAAGTGCCTTTACCTGTTGAGCCATCTCACCAGCCCTTCGTAAAATGATTGCAGAAAGAATTTTGTTGTTCCTTCTAATCTCGAAAGAGCAAATAAAAGCTTATATAATAGTCTGAGGTTCAAAAGCTTCTTTGTCATAGCTAATGGAACAGAGAGCCTTTGATCTCTCCCAGTTGACAACCTCAGGAACATGAGGTCTGTGGATGGAAGGCCAATGGGATGCTTTTCAGATCATTGAAATTCTCTCAGAGAGAATTGATTTTGATTTTGTATACTAGTACACACACACACACACACACAGACACACACACAGACACACACACACACACACACACACGGAATTCTGTTAGATCATGGCCCATTTGAATCCCTAGTGAATGTAAGTGAAATATTCCGTTTACAAGTTTATTTATTTTATGTGTAAGTATTTTACTTGCATGTATGTAAGTGTACCACGTGTTGTGCACTGCCCACAGAGGCCAAAAGAGGGAACTGGAGTTATGGATGGTTGTTAGCTGCTATGTGGGTGCTGAGAACTGAGCTGGTGCAAGAGCATCCAGTGCTCTTAACAACTGAGCTGTCTCTCCAGCCCCAAAATATTGTTTTTGATTAAAAAATATTTTTCCAGGCATAGAGAAATGACTCAGCAGTTAAGAATGTGTACTCCTTTTCCGAAGGACCTGAGTTTAGTTCCTAGCACCCACATTAGGCAGTTCATAACCCCTGTAACTCCAGTTTCAGGGTATCTAACACCCTCTTCTGCCCCCCCC